TGTGAATCAAATGGACATTTTGTGTGAACCAATTGAACACATATGTGCACGAGTGAACACATATGTCGACGTTTGAGTGAACATGTGCGTGAACGGTTTGATCATTTTCTTCACWTTYKGAATTCGAATTCCGAATGTATTCGTAGACGCTTTTAGCTTTTAATTCTCATTGTCGTCGATCTGTTTTACTCTATGATTATCCATATTACTCGGACTATAACGGAATCTTTACAAAAGAGACTTTTTTGAAATTTACAATATCAAAACCATTGTAGGAAGAATGAAATGTAAAAATCAGAAAGATGAACAAATGTGAAACTTCATGTCATTATTACATGAAGATCAATTAGTGATATTTTAAGATTTGTAACTCCCAATTAAGATATTGAAGAGTTACATAAATATGACAAATTACCTAAATACCCTTACACTTAATATGTGACTTACATTTGAACCTAACAAAAAGATGGAACATGATTGGTTGCTGTTGGTTAACATAGTTAACACAAAAAAATGGGTTAGTATTTGAACCAACCTCTCTCTCTCTCTCTATATATATATAGACACACACATAATATATATAGACAATAAGTTACATGATTGGTCCCTACAGTTTTTATTAAATATTTGGTCCTTATGATTAAAATGACCAAAATTATCTCTTGATTAGCCTACTTAACAGAAAAAAGTCTAATAAAGTTGGTGAGAGGGACCCAATACGTTGTAAATTGAAAATCATAAGGACATGATCTATAGATATTTTAAAATAGGGAGCTAATGTGTTAAAAACACATAAACCAAAAAGACCAATCATGTAACTTATCTTAAATAAATTATGTTAAGTATCAAGTAATAATAATTTGTTAGTTACAGAAAATTATTACATATTACGTATTTATAGTTATTGAGTTCTAATAAAGTAGTATAATAACATATAAATATTTTATTTATTATTAAAATATGTTTTTAATGTTTTTTATATGTGGTTGAAATTGAGTTTTTTTTAGTGTTCAATGGACATCTCCAACTCAACCCTAAAAACATAAAAATTGAGGCGTTTTCATCTCCAACCCAACACTAAAAACACTAAAAAGATAGAAGTCTCTGAATGTGGCCTCTACATTTCTCACCTTCCAGGTTGAAGAAACTATTACTTTAACTACCAGGTTTTGTTCACAGTGTGAACTCAATAAAACAATAAGGTTAAAAATACTGAACATGTTGAAATTACATTATGAATACACTAGAATAATAAGGTTTCATAATGAATATACTGAAAACGATATGGTGTATACTGTTAGGTATATGTACGCATTGTGATACTATCACAATGTGAACCAAAGATATTGTAATTTGCACGCCAACTAAGGATATACTTAGGGGCTGTTTACCAAATGCTTATTTGGGTAAACACTTACCAAGTTACATTACCTTACCGGATGAACATGACAAAGACTAAGAATCTTACCCGGTAAGAACGAGACAAGAACCGAAAGTCTTACCCGGCAAGTGAGGGCAATGACTCTTACCACGGTCAGCTCTTACTAGGTAAATTGTTGCATAGAAAGCCGTTTTTTAATAAAATCTTACTCAGTAAGTAAATGTGAATGCTTAGCGGGTAAGTGTTTAGTAAACGACCCGTTAGTGTAAATGTTATTATTACATTGTTCACATCATACCTTGTTATTATGCACGTTATTTGAGGGAAATAAAATATATTACAAAATATTCATTATGTTTTTTATTTAGTCTTAATTACAATGTCTCTATTTTAAGTTTTAATTAAATATAATTTCTAAATTAGAAGTAATATCGCAGATCTAAAAAATTAGAAGTATTTTAAATAAACTCTACTTTATATATCATAAAAAGAATACCTACGTTCGAGATTACATATGGCGGTATTAGAACAATTTCAACCATGGCACTAAAAAACACAAAATATGGTGGGGGCATCAACAAAAAAAAAATCGACTTCAATCACACTTTAAAAAACACTAAATTTGTGGAGCTTATATTTAAAATATCATATTTTATGTACTACTAAACTATTTTTAATAACAATTATTATAAAATATGTATAATAATAAATAATTAATCTATATAATAAAGACTTGTTAAAATAAAAACGACATCTGTTTAAATTAATAATTTTACATTACAAGAAAAAAGTTACATGAATTCAAATAATACAAATTGAAAAAATTAAATAACACTACTTATTGTTTAATTACAATATATTTCTTATTTAAATTAAAAAAAAGTAAACAATATATGGTCCTATCTTAAGTTAACAAACTCATCTGACTATCTGAGCCGTTTATTTTTTTGATCAACGATTATGATTAAATGAGAGGTTATAAAATGATGAAAATGAATTAAATTAAAATGAATTAAATAGAGAACAATTTTGGAACAAACTGTTTTTATTTTTAGAAAACAATCATGTTCAACATGGTGTTTGTTTAAAGTTCATAGTGTTGTTTGACCTATGAACTTCGATACGATTTTTTATTTTTTCTAGGCATTTCACTTCGAAATACGAAATTGTACTTCTCAATTTTATGACAAGTATCTCCAACATGCGTGGACCTGGAATGACTATCTTTTGTTTGCTCCGCAAGGTAGCCAGAGCTAGCCAGTTTTTCACAAAATAGGCAAAGGAGAGGCTAGCGGCGAAAGCAGGCCCGCTTCGCTTCCTCAATTGCTCAAGGAACAAGATGAAATTTCACGCTATTCCTCGCGTGTCGAATATTCCAGCAGGTGACAGAAAGAATAAGCGCGAGATGATAAAGAGAGAGCTTTGTCTATAGATGATCACAACGGATAGGTTGACTAGCGCATTGCTYTTAGATTCGTAGCTTTCCCTCCAGTATTACGACTACAAGGGGAGAAGCAAAGCTTCGTTTCCCGATTTTTTTACCAAAATTTACAGGTAAAACCAGAAAGTATATATAGATGAAACAATAATTTTCGTTTAAAGTTCATAATGTTGTTTCATGTACGAACATTGGTTGTTCCAAAAGTTTTACCAAAGTTCATAGATTAAACTAGAAACTGAATAAGAAAATTAAGGAAGTTTAAAAAAAGTTAATGGGACAGTTAAATAATGTGATATCAATGTATGAAAAAGACGAAAATAGCCGGTTAAAGTACTAATAAGAAGGTGCCTCTAGTTTGTACATCATATGTTATTTCATATGATTTTATTATCTAAGACTAGGATTTAGTATATTGATAAACATAGATTTGTTTCACATGTACACGGTTCACAATATAAATCTTTTGGGCGTGTTTGTGAAACAAAAAGATACATTTAAAAGAGTTGCAATTTGTGAAGTGAATATATATGAAATAGATATATGTTAATAAATACATTAAAAAATGAGCTTGTTATAAGACATAATCTGTCTATTAGAGACGTTCTTAGTACTTTGGTGAAAACGAAAAAAAGAACTATATACAAAAGAATTTTATAAATTTCATCTGACTTTAGAACAAATCTCGCAATATACAAAATACTATTAATGTACGAATTTTAATATGTATGAGTGTTTATATAAATGACATGTGACCCAATATATCAATCGGGTCTTTACCTTTCAAAGGCGGGTTTACGACTCTTTGTCAGTGTAAATGAGTTTGTTTTACTTGATCTTATATATTCTGAAAGAAAATAAAAATATCTATTTGTCTTATTATTGCCAAGATAATGGCCTACTTCTTCATATCCACTGTGCGATATATGCAATCATTATGATTTTGTAGTTCGGTACTGTCCTTTATCCACGTGATTACAGGGTTGTAGGGTTATCTCTTTAAAATTATCGAATCCAATCCAAAATATCATATTCAAACATGATTACAAGGTATCAGAGAGAACATTCATAATCATATTGAAATGTGTTAGGAGATCCAAACTAATTGGTTGGTTGAACTGATAAGATCGTTATCCAATTATAAAGTGACTTTTCGTCGATCAAGAAAGTATAATAATTTCTAAAAACCTAATTGTACCAAATGATCTAAAGTTTCAACAACTCAATCAAAATGGATCCTATGTTTCAACCACTCAACCCATGGCTCAATGTTTTGTTGAGCTTTTGAATGTGTAAATCCAATTAATAAGGACATCTGTCGTGATCTGTCACTACAAATACTACACTCTAAGGATACTTCGATCATTAACACGTCAATTAATCATAAAGTTAACATAACATATATATCGTATGAAGAAAGAATTAAACGAGAACAAAATTAAAACAAGAAAATACGAAAACCATTGAATTATATATGATTTTTACACAAATAAACATATAAAGCTTCCCATGTGGCATAGTGCATCCCCATGCCACATACACCTTTGTTCCCCTGATTTTTGCTAAAAGGTCGAAATAGACCGTAGTCCTATGTTTCTTTTAACTTTTAACTTCTAAAGTTATATTTTTTTTTTTAGAGGACACAACTTTATATCCGGTATGAATGATAAGTAAGATATATTAATTATGTTTATTTTATCAGAGTTTAGAAAAACATTTCAATTTATGCAGATGTAACACGAAACTAATAAATTGTGAATGATACTTACAACACATAATCATACATGATATGTCTTAAAACCAACCACAGTTGATACAATTTTATAGGATCTTTATTTGGAACTCTACATATATACACTAAACAGACCTTGTATGATTAGCTCGATTGACAATAAATCTTGGTCTTTGGGGATTCTTCTCAGATGTCATTGTTTCAAACCAACTAGTAATTTTCTTGACGCTCCTGAAATTAATCAAGATACACACAAGCTCGTTCGAATACTGCTTTAAAAGCAATGCAACTATCACACTCGTGAATAAGTAATAAAAAGCCGTTCAAAGGAAAAAGAAAAGAAGGCCATAAAACCGGTGGGTTTTACCTTTTACAGCGTGTAGGGAGTGATTTTCTACCGTGCCATTAGGCTCGACAAATTACAGTACCCGATTGTGGGGCCCGGCCGTTTAGCTACGATCGGTCAAGTAAACATCTTGGTCGCACTGACCCCAGGTCTCCGATCTTCGGCCGGACGAGAACCGAGTCACTCCTCCTAAAGCAGGCGGATCTGCTGGTGTTCCGTGTTCATCGTCAAGTGGGTTACAAGTGACGTTTATTCTCGGAGCTGAACGGTCCGACGATTGGTTGATTTTAAGCGATGGTTGGTTGGTAGTTTTACGGCCGTTACAACCAGATCGGAATAATGACTTTACACGAGATATAAACCCGCTTCTCTGTACTTGACCGATTTTGTCATGTGGAATTACAGGTTTTTCCAGTTCACTAGACGGTCCATTCGACTTCCTACGGCTTCGACACCTCTTCGATCTAACTCTACCGAGACAGGAAACCTTCGGCGAAGACGGCTCTGCCATCGGAGCCACCGTCGGCTCTTTCCCTAGGGAATCCGATCTCTTAGGAAACAACCATAAGTTCGCAAGTTTGCAGTTCCTGCGCTTTGAATCGACATAAATCGTCTTCTGCGCCTTTGGTAAACTGATAATAGGAGCTTTCGATTTAAAAAACGCAGAAAACTGGACCGAGCTAAAGTTTGCGTTGGAGTGGACCTGATTTATATTCAGATTCAAATTCATCGAATTAGAGTTTCCTTTGATCGATTCCTTCCGATCTAAGAAAGCATTGCGATCAAACCAGTCGTATTCAGAGTCTTTTGATAGCCAGAAGGATTCCGGAGGGCAATCGGGAGGGCAATCGACTAGGGCGCTTTCCGGAATGTCAGGATCCCCTGGGTCATCGGCGAGAGTCTCACAGGCTATTTTCCGGTCACTGCCGCCGACGCCGCATACCAAAGCAAGCGACTCCAAATCAACTTGTGGCATTTTTAGGTATACAGTGGTCAAAAATTTCCCAAAATATTTGTGGGAGGGAGCGTGAGCCACTTCAAAGTACAAAATAAATGGAGTTTTATATATAACATTGCAACAAGGTTCATGCATGACTATTGTATATTTTATCCCTATATTATATATATATATATATATATATATATATATTTAAATCGTTATAGTAATTATTGTATTTTTTTTATTAACCTGGATATCCAACCTGCTATGCGAGCCGACTAATTACAGAACGACCATCTGCTTTGCAGATAGCCCAGAATCACCGCAATTGAACCTTCATGGCCACAAAGGAATTTTTAGTAGCAAATATAAAAACTAACCTAAGGATCTTATAAACACTTGGAAAAATTGATCAACTGAAAGAATGAATAGCCTCTTGTAAGCAATTTCGCAACCACATTTTTTAGCATGTTTCTTAGTCCCCTAAGAGTGGTACTTATACCTTCACAAAGGGACATGCATGACACGAAGTTGAAGTCCAGTGGTTTTATATCGTGTTTATTGTTCCTCTGCTTGCACGCAAACTCCTAATGACTGGCATCAACTACGGGACTGTTGTATTTGTTCAATGCACAGTTGATAAGATTCGTTGGATCTGCTTCATTAGATGATGATATTTTCATCAGGTGTTCAGTTACTTAACTTCTAATCTTTGTTACCTTTGTCTATTGATCATGTATCAACTCCACTGCTCATTGTAACACCTCATTTCATATTTGTATATAACTTACATATTTTATATGGAAATTAAATATTTCCACACTGGGTCCCAAATGTGTAACTTGATACATTTCAAAAGTAGCTACCAAAATTTTCCATAAATACACATTAGAAGACTTGTAAACGTAACAAGTTATCAAATGCAAGTAATATAACATCTTGTAAAATCCACGTATGTAAAGCAATCATGATCCATTTATAAAATTTCCTCTTTCTTTTATTCTCTGGTTGTGTTCGACTTGTAATGCATGTTTTAAAATACAAAATGAGGGTTAAACCTTGAAGTCTAGTAAAAAATCTTTTTGATTGCTATTACAGGATGATGATCACTAAAACACTTTTATAAAACTCATAATAAAAATCCATATAATTATATCAATCTACATGTTTCACTTAAATACGTCTCATTCGTTATATTAGATAACGGAACTTCATGACAACCACCAATCTCCATTGAATCTGCTGATGAAAGGAGTGAATGACCATCGAAAATGAAAAATTTATTCACTGATTCACTATGAAAATCAAATAAATCTAATTAAAACCACAATGCATGAAATAAGTAACAATTATTACCAAAAATATAAATAAAAAAAAGATATTAATTGATAACAATGGTAAACGGTACATATAACAATAGAATCTAATACTGAATGAAGAAAACCATATATAAAAGGCAACAACAATTTATGACTAAAAGTAAAAAAAAAAATTTGAACCCTTAAAATCTTGGAAGATCAACGGATGTGATGAGTTGCATGATTTGCACCCTTCGAGATGTTTGTAAATGATTGTTGGTCTATATATGTGTGGGGGTAGAGGAGGTTTCCAATGATAATGTAAGTTATGGTGAGAAGGGTAAGAAAGAATCTTCACCTTCGGATCAATCCTAATCGAAGATTAACATTGATGTTGTAGACCAAGATACACTAGATTGATTCCTGTGATTAGTTGTGCTCAAAAACCCGATTAACCCAACCTAATCTAACGTGAAATAACTAAACCCCAAGCAACCTGATGTCTAATCAAGTTGTAAAATTTTCAAACTGTAGGTATTTTATTAATATTGAGTTACTATTATTTGAACTCAATCCAACCCGATTGACCCGATATCCTTTTAAATATTGGATTTAATATGATTGTTGAATTTCTATTAATATATACGTTAGACAATTACACTATCACGTACGTTTTCATATACACATATTTTCAGTCTATTCACATCTCTATATATAACTCATTCTTATATATGTTCAGTAACTGTGAACATATATATGTAAATTGAAAAAATTAACTAAATGTGATATAGATAAGAAATATGGATGAGTTATATCAAATGATTGATGATGAAAAAGAAATTATGAGTAGAAAAATAACATATTTAAGGTTAGAAGAATATTTTAATGTACCAAAGTATCAACCTAACCTACCAGTACGGTTTGGAGTGGGTTGGATTGCATTTGGTTTGGGTTGAGTTGGATTAAGATTTTTCAAACCGTAGCATTGGGTTGATTGTTTAAATGTCTTCAACCCGATCAACCTAAACCATGACTACCCCTACCTGTGATAAGCGGAATTCATGTAGTGGGGTGAGATTAAAAGTAATTAAGTGTTCAAATCACTTCTTAGTGGGTTTGTGTCTTACTATATAGAAGTTTTTGGGTATCACAGTGGGTTTGTGTCCTACTGTTTAGACGTTTTTTGGTATCAAAATGGGTATCACAGTGACGTATGTTGGAGTAAGTTTGGCCGGAGTAAAATTCACTAAAGAGAGGAGAGAAAGATTTACAAAAGACTACTTTACCCTAAATATTATTCATAATTTTTTTTTTGAAAATTAATGGCTAATCACAAAAATTAATACTTTTAATAATAATCATTAATTATTAACAATATATGGTTAAAATTGAATCTCACGATTATTAACACAATATGATAAGCCAACTTGATACAATAATTAATTTATTGGTTTCCAATGTGTACCAAATATAAAACTTGTTTTATAATTAATGATACAAACTTTATTTATTTATAATATTAATTAACTTAACACGATATTTTTTATTTTTCTTAAAAGAAGACAAATTATACCTTTATATATTACTAAATATATCTTATCTAATATTTTCCTTCTCATACACATTAACATCAAAATCCACTTTTCATATCTCTAATACATGATTTGATCTGATTCTGATATTAAGACATAAATGTCATTGCACTTTTTTAAAAGTACTTTTTAGAACTGATATAATACCTAAGAATTTATGTTGCAATTGCATTGATTACGAAGGTCTTGTATCAACTGTTTTTTCGTTATTAATATTAAATAACCTTGTCGAAATTGAACACAATGATGAATTTCTGTTCAGATATATAATCAAGAAATAGAAAAAAATTAGTGATACGTCTGATCTATTTTTCAAGAAATTTTGGGTTTACTTGTTTATGGATACATGATAAATCATACTTTATGATGAAATGAATAAATCAAAATGCGATGTTCATATGATATATTATAAATTAAAACACCAAACATGTCTTCAATTAATAAAGTAACATCTTAAACTCACTTAAATGGACTTAAAAGATTCTTGTAAATAACATCTTCAAGCAGTTTTCCATAATTGACTTTCTCCAATAAGTCGTTAAATTGAAATATTAGCATATAGGAGTTTACTGACCACTGTTTACCTTAAATTCTCGAGACATCCTAGCTCGATTTTGGGGTAGAATTCTCCATCAACTCTAAACTTTTGTTCATGTTTTCAAAGAAATATAGTGCTTTGAACAATGAGGACAGGTTTCAAGCTGGACGAATTCAACGAAATTAGAGGTGAGATTGCTCGTCGAACAAGAAAGAGAGAAACTAGAACAAAAAGGAAAAAAAAAAAATTAAACAGGGCCATGCTCGGTATTTCAATCGTAAAATTCACCATTGGAAAAATAAAGATGAATAAGACTGACCGACTAGGTCCTATCTAAAAAGTGTTACAATAAGTTTATTAGATATTTTTGAACATCTTAACAAGTTTTTAATGACATTTTAAAATAATAAAATGTCTTTTTAACTATTTTATAGAATATTCTTTGAAAAATTGTCTTATAAATACAAATATCATGTAAAATATGTGTTTGCAGGACAATTCTAAAAAATGTCATATAAAATAGCCACCAAGACATTTTATCTTAAAATAGTTTATTAAGATCTTCAAAAGTGTCCTATAAATTTATTATAATCAGGGGCGGATCTAATGCAGGGTGGTAAGGGTCCTAGGCCCCCAACAAACCCACCAATTTAAAAAAAAAAACTATAAAAAGATTTGTTTAGTAAATTTTCCTATTATGCGTCAAACAAGAACAAGACAAAAGCTCCCAACAAGAATAAGGTAAGGGCCCCCAACTTGATATCCTGAATGTTAACTGATCCATTTGCAGCGCATACTGATATTTCTATTCGAAATGTAAAATATAAAAATTAGACACCTCGATGAATTAGTAAAAAGTCAATTGAAAATCAACTTGAATAAATTATCTTTATTCGATTAACTGAACCATTTAAGCCAAAACGGAAAACCCGAAACCGTTTCCATCCGAATGAATTATTTGTGTTTGAAAAAAAAAACCCTACACCCTTAAGTGTGCCCCCAACTATAAAAGTTTCTGAATCAACTACTGATTACAACACTTTTAGATATGCCATTTTATTTTTTAATCCTATAAATATAAAAAGACTACTGTGAAGTGTGAAACTTAGATATTAAAGTTTGGTACGACATAAGCTTCATAAATTTATTCAATGTTTTATTTAATGATTGTTGGTGGTACTAAAGAGAGTAGTGCATAATTCATCACTCACAACCTCTAATTGAACTTAATGGGAAATAATGGATATTGAAATACAACCAACCAATTGATTGCTTTCAAATTTAAAATTCATTAGTCTAAAAAACAACTTATTGACTTACTCCGATGTGGTACCGGTAATAAGCGCTTTTGAGTGTTTGGATAAACAACTTATATTGGTGTCAAACCGGTAATAAGAAGTTTTTGAAGAAGTTAAACCCTTCTGACTTATAATAAGTTAATAAGTGCTTTTATAGAAAAACATAAGTTGTTTCAAATAAGCAATCTCAAACACCCCTAATACAGATTTATAAGATAACTAAAAAGACATTAAAACTTGTAATATGTTGAAGTTGTGCTTAACATGATTGAATTGATGCTTCAACATACCCAATATTTAACTATATGCA